GAATGATGAAATTCACTGTATTGACTACATCTCTCAGAGTAGTGCCAAAAAAAGTAAAACAGCAACTGTGAGCTTGAGAAAAAGACCACTTTTGGAAACTGGGAAAAGTGTTCCAGTAGAAAAAGGAATACGTTAAATGAGAATCAAAAGAAAAACAGGGGAAGTGTCATTTCACATGGGATTTTGTCCCTCCTTCAGAAACTGGAAAATATTTCTAAATTAATGAGTAGTACTGACACGTTTTAAAGTTTTGTATGGTCTTCAGACATTAATATGAAACATTAATGAGTTTCTGCATGAAAATGAGGTGCTAGAAGCTGCCTTTAGCTATGTTTTAATGCATAGGTTCTAATGTTACCTGCACTGGCCAAACTGGCTTCAGCCATGAAGACTTCACAATTCACAATCCAAAATTCTATGCTGCACTATAATCAGGATACTCTTTTGTGAGAAGGGGACAAAAAAGTGGCCTTCTGCACATCTGCAGCCTTCAGAACTAGCTGGTAGGTGGGTATGAGGAATGTAAGACACACCTATGCTTTGAGTGGGTGCTATGCTTCACAATTTCACAAGAAACCTGTGAGTTACTTTCCTTTTTTTTTAAAAAAAAAAAAAAAAATGTATCCTAAGAGAGGTTAGAAATGTTTTTGATATTTCAAATTAGTTTTAAAAGAAGATTCTTAACCTATACTGACAGCAACATCAGAGAGCAATAAGGCAGTCAAGGTATAGTGACTATTGGAGCAGCACAGAGCTAAAAAAGGTGGCTGGTGTATTCCAGACCACTGTGAGTTTAGTACTGAACTGTCTGAAACTTAAAATGCAGGATGGAAATACAAAAAATAAAATATATCAAGTGCAAGTAAAACGTGAAGGACCTAGAGCTGCCAGCAGTTAACATGGGTTTAATGCTATTCTATATGAACAAAGTATACTTCTTGATAATGCCATTTGTGTGACTCATTGAGGAACTTGTGTCAGACCAGTAATTGGCTGGTTAATGCAGTTTATTCTCCATATGAGCGGATAGGAGATTAAGTCGCCCGACCCTTGCCATTTCTTTCTGACGTTAAATGTATTTAGGTCATTTACTCAAAAGAAAGAGTAGCTAATAAGTGCCAGGCCAAAACAAACAAGCAAACTAAAAAAAACCACCACCAACAAAACTCTGGTAAATATAATTGATTTTAAACTATAACTTCAATTTTAATTCTTAAACTTTTGCACCAAAAACAAGACAGAAGGAGCATGTTGTAAAATCAAAACTTCAGTGGATTTTAAGTGATTTGTTTTTCATGATAATAAAGTATGATGGGTGCCCTTGCCATTCTTTTAGCATTGCAAATTCATCTATGTCTGAACAGAAAAGTAGAAGTCGCAACAAATTTTTAATTTTTTTACCTTATTTATTTTAAAACTATATAAGTTCTGAGGAGTGAGGAAAGAGGAGACGCTAAAACCATCCTGTTTGTAAATAGAAAGCATTTTGTTTGGTTATTTGGCTGCATTCTCTTGTCTTTCCCTTTCATGGAGGAAGAAAAAGGCATGTGTGGGATGTTAAAGGCAAGGGTAATAGTTTTCTGTTTATCTGCACAGCTGTGATGGGAGTTACAAGCATCAAATATCAGGTGCACCTGTGTAAAGACAGCATTAATCTTTTGGGTGTGTTTTGGCCACTGCATTTAGCATACGTTTTCGAATAGACAATAATAACAAAAGGTGTGAGCAGGAAGGATTTTGGAAACTCATTTGCAAACTGTTTGAAGCAGAGAGTGTTTCTGTGATATTATCCAGTGGCAATGGTTAGATAAAATGCTGTAATAATTCAGGAACCAGAGGATTTCTCTGTATTATTTGCTGTCCAAATGTTTCAAAAAGGACCTGAAATAATCATTTATCTTTCTGCATGGAAAAGGGATGAATTCTTTGCCTAGCCAGTTTGTCTGTTTCTTCTTTAAGATATTTACCTTGAGGCTATATGGAATAGCCTTTCTGACTATTGCTTATTATGAGATTAACAAGTCATTGCATGCGACACCATCATTAAATTTGCTTTGCCTTTTTGCTAGGATTAAAAAAATACCGTGTATTGTTGTTAAATTCTCCCAGTATTTTGAGCACTGTTCAGCTAAAGCATTTAGTTTGTCTCTTATTTATACATCTGAGATGCTATTTTAACTAAATATGGCAAGCAAGAACAAGTAAAAAAGTGTCTGATTCCATTTCCTGACACTTATTAAAGTTTTAATTGTAGTAAGGACAAGTAGAATCTTGAAGCAGTGAAGATCTTCATAGGAGGGTTGGTAAATAAGATTCTAATAATCCACAGGAGAAAGATTAAAAGTTGCAATTGCTACATTTTGTGGGGAAAAAAAAAGACTTTTTTTGCTATGTTTTGCTCTATAGAGATCTACATGGCATAATCAAAATATTAATTAATATCACAGTATTAACAATTTCAGTTTTGGATGAAATATTTAAGTGAAAGAGACATGTTTTGTGAAAATTTTGTTCAGTTCTCTTACAACCAAAAGTAATAAAACTGTACACCTAGTAAGATAAAACACATGTCTAGAGTCCTTTATATTCATGTTTTTAATAGTTCTTATTTTGCTGAACTTGAGCGAACGAACCAGTGAGGAACTCATGCCCTGCCCCATCATAAACCCTCAAATGCTGAAACGCATAGCTTCTCATCAGATTACTTTCATTCAAATGTAATTTTTGCCCAGAGATGTAGTTGATGCCCCATCCCTGGAGACTTTCAAGGTGAGGCTGGATCAGGCCATGGGCAATCTGCTTTAGCTGTGGTGTCCCTGTTCATTGCAGAGGAGTTGGACTAGATGGCCTTTGAAGGTCCCTTCCAACTCAAAGGATTCTATGATTCTAGTTTGGGACACCTGGTAAAACACCATTAACTTTAAATAATGCTTCTGAAGAAAATGATTATGTGATTTCTTGTTAGTAGATTTTATTAATAAATTTTAAAAATAAATAGATTGATTATAAAAAACAATGTTGAGCATCATTTCTAAATTTTGTACTTTTCCCTTGAAGCAGTAGGAGCAAGAAGTAGGTTGACCCTAATTAACCTTCTATGCAATACTTTCTTTAAGCTAGAAGCTGATTTTTTTCATGTTTGTTTGCATGAAGGAATGGCTTTTCAAAATGCTGATATTTTTCCTGCAAATACTTTCTAAGCCTGTAGTTGTAAGAATTTTGCTTAAATTATTTCCTTTAGTCTTTTAAGATGTAGTATACATATGTATAAAGCAAGTAGATTTAACTTCCAGTTTGGAAATACATATTGAAAGCATGCACTGGAAGAAGTAACGTATTTTATTTTCAAATGGTGAAAACATTTTTGAGTTGCCTGATATAGTTAAGGCAGTATTTTGAAGCAACATAAATTTTACTGTATTTATATATTGTTTTTAAAAATGATTTTTTTCTTGTACATAGAAAAACTTTTGCTTGTAACAATCCCCAGAAATCAAAACTTATAGTTAATGAAAGAAAATAAAACAAAAACAGACAAAAACTTTTGATGTGCTTAGATGTTAATTATGAAATATTTATATTATTTATTTTCGTGTCCTGAAACTTTTAGTGCTAACATTTCTAGTAACAGTTTCTATGATATTTACAGTTCAATCTTATATTTCAAATTTAGATGTGTTTATTTTTTCATATGACTTTGTGTATTTAAGGAAAACTTTCAATTTTCATAAATACTCCATGAACTGAGCATTTGTACAAAACTTCAGAACATTCCACTTAAAGAAGGGTTTTCTTATTAGTGTTTACTCCTTTCCTTAGGATAATGTAAGTAATCCAGCTTGACTGATAGTGAGAACAATTATAATCAGTTATAAACTGGCCACAGGTTTGCATGAAAATTGTTTCTGCCTTACTTAAAAATTCACTGTTCGTTTTATCACTTTTCTGTCTCAAAGCCTTTATGATTTCAGTTCATTATTGCAAAGCTGTGCATGATGAGATATAGATGCTTTTATGCCACGTCCCAACATATGTATAGTTTACTGCATGCCTAAAGTTAGGCTTAATATTTTATGTGTAAATATATTACTAATAGTATCGAGTATGAAGCACAGGTAGTGCTGTTTGTTTTCTTAAGATATGATGCCCTTTTCCTCAGCAATGAACCAATTCTCCAGCATCTTGATATGTGGTTTTGTAAGGCACTGTTCTTGAGATGAATCATAAAGTTGTCACTTGGTAGCCCCCTACTATGCTTGACAATGATTTTCACAAATGCAGAGTTTTAAATAGTGTACCTTAAATGTTCAGCCACCTGAATTTCCCGTTTACTTTTAGCTTACTCAGGTAATTTTCATTTTGTTTTCTGCTGAAGAAGGGTTATGGCAGTCATCTTGCTATTACTGTAAATGTTATTCCGTGGGGGCTTGGAGAGGATAAATGAATTGTATCTGACTCCAGGCTGGTATTTTGGGAACTCTTCAGGTGGGACTATTACAAAATACTGTACCAGACAATTATGTGACTTTGGTACAGTGTGAAAGAAGGCAAATGTTTTTATGTAAGTGATATTAAAATCTATGTTAAGTATAGTAAGTTACTAACATTTATGAAATGTGTGGGTTTTTTAAATTTTTTTGAAATATCTTGTTGATTTCTGCAAAGTTCTCTACTTGTTGCTGAAGTCTCTTTTTTTTTTTTTTTTTGTAGAGCTTAATGTAGTTTAAGACTATGGGTGCCTGGGTTACTATTCTTTTGTGTTGGTTTTACCACTGTTAATTTTAATTAAGGACATTCAAGGCAGATAAGAGGACATGAAACCGGTGTAATAATATTTCTGTAGAAAGATTTTTCTTCATCTACATCAGCAACCACCCTGTTCTAGTACAACTTTAAGATAGCAATGGTGCTGCATCAAACTTCCTTCTACAGTGAGAGGAAATAGAGATAACTCTTGGAAAAAGTTTTGAGGCTAGTGACAAAATATGTTTGTCTTTCAGATCCCCAGCTCAAGGGTATAGTGACCAGGTTATATTGCAGGCAAGGCTACTACTTGCAAATGCACCCCGATGGAAGTCTCGATGGAACCAAGGATGACAGCAGTAATTCTAGTAAGTGACTGCCATAGGGGAATGTCTTAATCTCACATGCAGATTGAATCATTCAAGTGTATACATGCAAACACAGTTTTAATGTTTTTGGAAGGTTTCTGAATGTGTTTTGTCAAAAGGAAGAGAGTTCTGCCAATTGGAAGCCTAATAACCATCTGCACTTCTTGTACAGGACACTGGCCTAAACATTTTCCCTCTGAAGGTATAAGTGCCATTGGACGTTGGGGGTGAGATATTTAGGCCAGCTTTTTCTTTGGATAGCTTTATAAAAATGATAAAATTATGTAATGTTTTTGAAATAAAATTATGTATTTAACAGAACTTTATCTTCAAATTAATCACAAAAAAGAAATAAGAAATCCAAAATTATTTGCAAATCTGATCATATGAGCCTTGATTCAGCAAAACAAATAAATACATGCTAATCAAAATCCTGCTCAAAGCATATGATGAAATGTCTTGCTGAACTGGGGCTGAAGATTGATCATCCTACAGTCTGTCCCTATATCAGCAAAAATGCCAGTGATTTTGACAGGATTTATGCCAATGTAGGGACTGCTACAGTGGGAATTCTTCAAAAATACTCTAAACAAAACTGGTCTTGAAGGACAGTATTGATCACTACATTGGTGTTATTTTCGTATGGTACAGCCATTCAATGTATATACATATACAGCTTCAGCTGCAAATGTTAATTAAGCAAACCTATTCTTACTGTAGAAACACTTGAGTTTTAATTTTTCACTTAGAGAATATGTGTATTTTGTTTAGTTTAATGATAACGGAATATTTAAGTGATTCATTTATATATGGTCTTGGGGTCTATTTTGAGCGTTTTTAGTAAAAAAGATTTATCTGCTTATGATGATAAAACTTAAAAATAAGCCTTTAATTTCATTTTAAAAAATGTTGGAATTAAACTATAGAAATTAAATTTAGGGATTTGAGAATTCTTCTTGAGCAAAACTCCCAATTTTACCTGTTAATGCATGGCTCTTGTATTTAACATATTTCATCAACAGATAGCATGACCATGTTTTACTATTCTACTTTTCTAGAACTGGGAAAAATAATTGATTAATCTACTTTGATGTATATTTCTCTCTCTGCTCAATTTCTGAATGTTTCTTTTTCTTTTTCTTCTTTTTCTTTTATTTATTTATTTATTTATTTATTTATTTATTTATTTTTTCCTGTTTCTTGATGGTTTGTTTTTTTTTTCCTTTGCTTTTCCTTGGTGTGTTCATGCCTCATGCCCACTTCTGTACTGGATCTAATATCAAGAAGTATTTTAGAGAAGCTTTGTCTTTATGAGGTCTAAGAAACATGTCTTAGAATGCAAGCTTCTATTTCTCTCTCTTCCTGCCTTTCTCTTATTTTCAGCTTCAGTGAAGAGGTGTGTATGACAGCAAAAATTTTGGAATATTTTATGTCATTTCTACTTTTGTCTCTTAGAAATCTACCATCATGCCATAGTTTCCTTTTTTCACTGTTATCAGTTTTACAAATCTTTTTTATTTTTGCTTACTGTGTTATTTGCCCTTTCTCTCCTCTCTTCCTCACCTTCTGGATTTCCGTCTGTCTTTGTATCTCTAACTCCTTTCAATTGTTCCAAAATTCAGAATGAATATTATATATTATAAATATTTTTAAATACAGATCTTGCCCAAAGCCAAATAAATTTCATATTCTGAATAAAAGCTGTTAGGTAATATTATGTTTTACTTCAACATTAATTTTTTGGCTAAAGTGATTCTTTCTACAGAGGAATTTTTTCTCTCCAGCCAATGTGCTTCAGTAGTCCAATTTTATAATAATGTTAATTAAAGACATATTAGACCATAAAAATGTATAAATCAGTGTGCCAGGAAAACATACAATTTTCACATTAAATTTTGACAATATATTTAGTACTATCAACACTGTATCAAGAGTTAAAAAGATTGATTTGTTCAGTATAGTCATGAATACATAAGTGTTTCTTTTGTGCTGTCAATCTTTCTCCTCGCTTCTCTTCTCATTCCACACTATTTCTTTCCATGTCTTGTTGAACTTTTTGGTTTTTATCTTTTTCTTTATTTCAGCATATTGTATTTTTTCTTTTGTACTTTAAAAAAAAAAAGAATTTGCTTGTGTATATAATCCTTAGTCTTCTGATCTATTATTTTGTGAGCTCCTCATTGTGATAATTCATGTCTGATGCTTACCAGTAAATAAGTTTTGGCAACTGCAAAGGAGAAAGCATGGCCCCATACTGTTGGGTTTCGCTTGGGAATGGGAAAATTTCTTTTGACCACTGAGCTACCAGTCTGCCTATTTAATCCACCCAGTGAGTGAGGAGATACATTATCTTTGAGTAGGACTGACTGTGTGCTTACCTTTCATTTGAACTGTGTTTTGTAAAAAGGGAGGAAATTGAGACTCCTGAAGGGCATGCATCTCTGTCGGCCTTCAAGGCATGCTCTGTTCTAATCAGTGTCACCATAGCCTGTGAAGGAGCCCTCATCACCTTCACAGCTTCCAAGTAGCTTGCTGTTTTGGAGAAGCCAGTGAGTGAATATCGAGGGAGAAAAGAGAAGTGATTTTTGTTTTGAGCAAGGAAACTGAAGCTTAGTCATTCTGCTACTTTCAGTTCTGCCGCAATTTATTCCATCAAGCAGTTAGAAAACTACTTGAAGTTAAAATTCTCTGACGTGTATGTCATTTTGTACTTATTCTATATGTACATAAGTAAACATAAACAAAATATAATAAACATACACTATTGGAGTCCCAGTGTTACATAGTGTTAGTGTCTGGAAAGACTGAAATGTGGTCTGTTCAGATTGTTAGTACTCTTTTTTTGTCTTTAAAGCTTCTTGGTAATATTTTTAATGTGGCTTTTTGCTTCTACCTGAAGTCAAAATGAGTTCTACCAGTGTTTTCAGTCAGCTGTTGTAGCATATCCGATTGTAAAGTGTCAGCCATTGCAAAAAGAATGATGGGTTTCCATTCATTTTTGTAGACTCCTTTTATGCATTTTACAAGACAGTGACGTTTTGTGATAGAGTATGATATAATGGATCTATTAGCTAGTATTTAACAATGCTAAGTTTCCTCAAATCACATCAGCAAAGTAGGGCTGTAATTTTGCCTAACTCTCAGTAATGTGTGTAGAGAGGCTTTATTACATTTCTTCTCTTATTTTAGTTGTTTCTCCTTTTTCCTTCATTCCGTGCCTCACAATTTCTGGTATTTGGGTTTTTTTGTTTGTTTGTTTCTTTGTTTTGTTTTGTAGTGATGGTAGGAGTGACTGTGGTTAAAGCTATAGGCTTTTTTACTTTTGTCTTGCTCAGTATAGCTGTCCCTCTCTTGCTTTGATTTTAGAGGATTTACAGTAGTTCATAGTGGTTCTTGGTGCAAGTGAAACTTGCTCTAGGAGTAGGTGCTCACAGTGATCTCATGGGCCTCACTATTATTACTTTGGAAAAACAACAGAAGCTATAAAGAAATAGGTGTCCTTTTTGTGCTCGTAATAACAATCATTACATTCTGCTCCTGATCTCCCACCCACAATATCTCGATTTCTGGCTTTGGTCTGTCTTCAGCATTCTGTCTCATGAGTGAATGACAGTTTTAGTACGAAGACTAATTATGTTTGGGGAACAGGGAATTCTGATTCTTTTATTTCTGAGAAGGAAACTCCGAATCTCTTGGCCCTTGTGGCTTATCTATATTCACTTGCAAAGCATACCTCAGACAACAACCGCTGAAAAAATTCAGCACTGTGATATTTCCTTTGATGCATGGTAGACCTGATTTTAGCACTCAGCTGTTGTTATTTGGGCCTCTTATGAAATTACAGTCATATTTAAAACATATTAAAAGGCCATTGCTCATTTGTAGCCGTTATTCATGAACTGGTAAATATCAGAGTTAGGACTATCCAAGCAACTTTGACTTGGCTGTGCTGTGCACATTTCTTGCTTAATTATGCTGCACCATGCTTTACTTCCTTCATGACACTTGGTGCCTAGAAGAGCTAGTATTCAAGAACTCTCATGCTCCCATTTAACATGCCTTTAGTTTCACCATTTAATGCATGTTCCTAGAGCTCCATTTATATTTTCCAAATTGAATATGGAAATTTTAACTTTTTAAATCTCTTTCTAAGGTACCTACCACTAGAATATTTTGGTTTGAAGATATTTATAAATAACCTTCTTAGCATCCTGGTAAGATAAAAGAAATAATTAGACATAAATAAGCATACGGAGATTAAAAAACAACATCTGTAATGTGGTTAAGTATAGATTACTAACCTGAAATGTTTGCTGTCAGATTTTTAAGCTTTTTTTTTTTTTTTTTTTTTTTTTTTTTTTTTTTTTTTTTTTAACTGCATCTTTTCTTCAAAGAATTGCAGAAGCATTTGGCTATCTATTTAACACTACCTTTTTGAGTTAGGGTAAGCCCATTTCTCCCACTGCTATACTCCTGGTCAATGCAACAAGATCAATGAAGGCCATGTTCAGCCCTGCTGAAGCACAGCACATTTTAATAACATCTTGTATTACATCAGTCAGGTAGAATGTGTTTCTCCACCAGAAATTATTGGCATATCTCTGAATATCAACTTTCCCATAGTCATTATCAACCTAAAATTCTGATGGAATCATAGTTTTTGCCTATGGGCCTGTAGATGGAAATAAATTAAAGGGATAGTTGCCTTGATCTGACTGCAAATTTGGTCCTTTGGGAAGTTTTCTTAACTGATACCAGTGTAAGGCACGTACAGAACAGAGAGCAAGTTATAAGCCTTATGCAATTGGTTTCCAGCAAGTTTCTTAAGAAAAACAATTTTCTTGTAGCTATGAGCCACCTAAATAGACTTTCTTGGGGATATCAAAATATCTGATCTCAGGCATTTCAAATCTAAAGGTAACTTACTGTGTCAAATATACAGAAAAAAAAAGGAAAAAAATGTGTTGGGTTTGTGTTTTGCACAAGGAAAGGAAGGAGTTCTACTTATCAGAAAGTGGATTTTAGCTACAACTTTGGCTAAAAATTTTGGAAGATTAGAATTCAATTCAAATTTAGCCCAGCAAACCTTTCTCATGATACCTAATGATGAAAATTCTCACTTCTGGTCAACTGTTGCAGTTAATTTCCCCCAGCTCCAAGTTCTGACCTTGTGTGTAATGTGAATAGCATTGGCGGATTAGGAAAGGGAAGAAAAATCAGTTGTTTTATTGTCATGATTTAGATGGAATGCAAAAGAAAGCTAATGCAGTGTGCACAGGCTCAGAGCTGCAAAGGATGAAGGGCTGTAGTCACACCATTTCTCTCAATTGCTTCCCTTGATTTCCTGATGTTCCTGGCTCTTATTTGTCAGTGGATTTACCAGTGTCTATACTTAAACATGAGACATAGGAGAACTGAGCACTGGGCTGTTGAAGAATATTCTCTCTCAGCTAATATATGGACAAATTGGGCTAGATTTAGGACAACTGAAATGTTCAGTGACCAAACTCCCCACTTATTTTTGGGTTTGGATCATTGTTTTAAAGACAGATGGAAGCTAGAGGCATGGTTATTTTTCACCACCACTCAGTTAAGGGTATAATTCTGGCTGTGTAGACCTGATATGCTGGCAAACTCTGGAAACAGCTTTCAACTCTTATGAAGCAGAATTTTATTAGAGTGGGGGATAACACAAGAAAATCTTAGGCAGGTTTTAAATTTGCAATTAGGTGTGGAAGTCCTGCTCTTAAATAGTACTGCACAGCCACGTTCTTGAGGAAATTGATTTTCCTTTGGCCAACTTCAGCAAGTAAAAATCACATGCTGTGCATTACTGGTATGTGTTTTGCTGATCTCAGTATGAAGCATATCACTGAGCATTTATGAATCAATTGTAGACTAGCCTCCCTATTTTACTGAAGTCTGAAAGATTTTTAGTAGGCACTGAATATTCAGTGTGTGGAGAATTACAGTAATTCAGATCACACTCTAAAATTTTATGGCCTTGCACTAACTATAGCAACTTTGACAACATCTCATTAATACTTGGTGGCAGTGAAATATACATTATGTCCCCTCCTCGTTGCTTTCTAAATTCACTAGCAGCTATAAGATGTTCCATTAATTTTATATATTGTGTAAGACATTGCCATGTTGCAGGCCTCTAATTTCCTTTCAATAGTTGTTGGTTTTTTTTTCTACTTCTGCAATTTTATTTTTACTGGTTGTATAGTAAATGAAATTTGTGTTCCTCAAGTTTTGATTGAAGCATTGTAATTTCGGGTTATTTTTCATCAGCAGTTTGTCATGAACGACTTATTTTTTGTGCTTATCTTTTTTTCCTCATACAAGTATTACTTGGTTTTCCTTCTTAGTGTCCTCAAAATATTTGCTGCCCTTCCTCTAATGGAGTGTTCATATCCAGGTTTCCTCCTGGAATTTCTTTTCTTCTTGAAAGAAAACTAAATTAGCTACCTGTCTCTCCATTTCTTTTCCATTTATTTTTCAGTCCCCTACCAAAAAGTCCTGATGTTAATCCCCTCTAGTTTTTCTGTGACAGACTCATCCTCCACCACCCAGGATAATGCTTTTGTTGTTTTTGACATTGTTTCATTTGAGGGCATTATCTATTTTTTAAAAAACTTTCTATTTATACTTGAATACATGAAATCTCTTAAGACATGCAGTGCTTAGACTATCCAGTCATAGGATATCTCGTCTGCCACTGCTATATTTCCCTGATTTATGTTTATCTTATATAGGTTAGAGAGGAAGCCTTTTCGCTATACTGCATTTTTATAGAGACCAGCCCAATACGATCCTAAAATGACTGAAACTTTCAGAAACTACTGAAATAGTAATGCTACATATTTGTGTTACTTCTTATCTGAAATCATCTCTTCTATTCTTTGTAAATCCATAACTTTGTTTTCTGTTCTTCCACACTCTTTTATTTCTACATCTGTAGGAATTTCTTTACAACAATTCTTAAATTTATATTAGCTCTATGTTTTCAGAAAAAAGGTCTAATGATACATATGATTATGTGATTCTAGATCCTTTTTCTTCATGAGAATATTCCAGCAAATGTTATTTTTGAAGGAAAGCAGTTTGTTGGTTGGTTGGGTTTTTTTGTTTTTTTTTTTGTTTTTTTTTTCATCTGCTTCTGTTTTTAAATTCCAACAGGCAACCCACATTTTTTTTTTTTTTTTTTTTTTTTTTTTTTTTTTTTTTTCCACTTCTAAAGATTTGATTTGATGAGCTTCATCATAAACTATAACTTTATATCTTGGGACCAACCAGGTGTTTTAGTATCTTATGAAAATGTGCTCATTTACTGCAAATTCACTGCTCTTTTTCTCTTTATTTGAGCTTTGCCACTGGCACTCTAATTACAAGCAGCCTCATACTCTACGCATTATGGTCACAACTAAATTTTGAGGAATTCACTGTAGACGCTACTGTGCTCCTGAAACATGGCTTTGTAAAACCATGAATACTTATGCCCATATTGAACATACAAGCTGTGCTTTTGGTTATCATTCAAGTTCTTGTAAATCCATAACTCATTCACAGTGGAAAAGCGCTTCGCATGAACTCTGGTTCATCCAGATCTTTCCTTCAGAGACTGATGTGTACTTTGCCTTTTTTTTCTTGAAACAAGTCAGTAAATTTAGTATAGTTGTGTTTGCTGCCATAATTCATAAAATAAAAATTGATCTGTGTCTTATCTGCTGAACTTTTGTATTTTTAATGAATACAGTGGGCAGTGGGGCACTTCTAAAGGGATCTTTGAGGAATCTTGTAATCTTTTGGCTGTGCTTCTAATTCTGAATTGGAAATACCATTTAGGGTCCTGTTCTTGTACTGCACTTGAAGCCCAGAAAGCCAACATTACACTAAGCTGCATCAAAAAAAAAGTGCAGCTATCAGGGTGAGGGAGGTGATTCTTCCCCTCTATGCTACTCTCATGAAGCCCCATCTGGAGTAGTGCACCCAGGCCCAGGGCCCCAGCATCTGAGGGACAGGGAGCTGTTGGAGCAGGCCTAGATGAGGGCCATGAAAATGATCAGAGGGCTGGAGCACCTCTCCTACAAAGACAGGTTGAGTTGCACTTGTTTAGTTTGGAGAAGGGAAGGTTCCAGGCAGACATTATTGAAAGAAGTCTTCCAGTACCTAACCAGGCCTACAAGAAAGCTGGATAGGAATTTGTTATCAGGTAGTACAGTGACAGAACAAGCAGAAACTGTTTTAAACTAACAGAAGGTAGGTTTACATTAGATATAAAGAAGAAATTCTTTATTATGAAGGTGGTGAGGCACTGCAAGTTATTGCGCAGAGAAGCTGTTGACGCCCCATCCCTGGAACAGTTCAAAGCTAGGTTGGATGGGGCACCTTGGTCTAGTGGAAGTTACCTATGACAGAGATCTTTGAATTCGGCGATCTTTAAGGTCCCTTCCAACCCAAACCTTCCTATGAGTTTTCAGGGGAACAGATTACTTGTTTTTCTGCTATTTAACAATGGGTTTCATATAAAATGTGTGTATTGGAAATAAAAATTTCTTATATTTTTACTTTTCTTTTTCTGTTGCTGTTGTGAGAATAGTACCTTTCTCTTCGTACTGATCTTTTTCAAACTAGTCAAAGCTGTGTCTTCTTTTGTTGTTGCAGAGGTATATATCATTGCTAGGGTATCTGCTATTAGCTGTGTTTTTCTAGTTAAATCATGGTGGTTTTTTTTCCAGATCTTGAGCTTTTGAATATATTCTATATTCATCTCAATAGGATTTATGCACTTTTAGAGTCAAGCACATATTTCAGTGCTTTCCTAAATTAGGACAAGAATCTACCATTACCTGAGGCTTGTAGAAAATACATCATTTACAAAACCAAATATTTTTGGATTTGAAACTATGGGCCCCTTGAAACCAATCATAACAAATAAAAATATCTAAGAAAATATAAACCTACTTGGCTGAATCAGAAGATATGTGTTCTACAGGATATCTCTCAAGTATTGCCCTTATGATCAATTTATACTGGTGAAGAAAATGTTGGGCTCTTTGATTATTTTGAGATTGTCTGATATACTTGTGCCTGCAGTGCTTTGTATTTGCTAGTTAACGCTTATGCCTAATACTGTGTGTTGCAGGAATTACTGATACATAGACACTCGGGCTTTAATTTTAAGGGTTAACTTTACTAGTAACAAGAATTTCTGAATTAGTTAAATCTCAAAATCAGAAGGTAGAACCAAAAGAAGTAGCTGTATTTCTTAATGTTGTTCATTAAAATATTTTAATAACCATAATATATTCATATCTGGTCTTGTTTTCTCTTCACAGCGTTATTCAACCTTATACCAGTGGGACTTCGAGTTGTAGCTATCCAGGGTGTAAAGACTGGGTTGTATATAGCCCTAAATAATGAAGGTTTCCTCTACACATCAGTAAGTACCTTTCTGAACTCTGTTAGAGACAGAGCTGTTATCACACATCTTTCCTGGTAAGATATACTGGTAGTGTACACTGAACCACAAAGATTATCATTTTCAATTAAGTTCTCCAGAAAATGCAAATAAAGACCTGCAGCTATTTTCTTTCAGAGTTGCTATTCAGAATCCAGAAGCTGCTAAACATTTAAGTTTGTTGATAAGACAATAATTATAATTATAAATTCAATATAAAAATAAATTTATACCCTTAGGTTTATCATAATGTTCTAACTTTATGCTTAGCACTATGGAATTTTTAATGTTGGCTATCAGAACAATGTGAATTCAATGTGAAGAACAGAATTTTTGTAAAATGATCAAAGTATAAGAAAATTCTTTTGAGTCATAAGCAATATTGCTGTATAAAGTGATTGGAAATGCCTCTGTTTGTTTAGGATATTCCAAAAGATTTAATGCTAATCAGTCAGTCTGTTATGAATATAAAAACCCCAATTTTGTGTAAATTAGTATCTTCACATCCTTTAGAAGACAGACAAACTTTAATAGGAGTAGGCAGTTCTGTCAAGCCTTAAGAAGGGGGCTTAAAGGATTTTTCATTACTATTTTTTATTGCCCTGTATGTCAAATTTATTTTAATAGTACTTTTTTCATTTCTTGCGTCACATAATTCTTGATTTCCCACTGAGTTACAATACACTGCTTTGTTTTCAATATCCATTGAAAGGAAATTGGACAGATTAAGTTTCTGATGCCCTCAGGGGAAGTATCCTGTTTCTTTCAAAAATACAATTGTTTGGAAAAGCTAATTAGGGGGAAAAATGGAACTAATCTTGAATGTCAATGTCAAGACAAAGAGAAAATTGCTGTTTATAAGAGATCTGTTGGAAACTCTACCAGCATGTTGTAAAACATTTTTTTTCTTCTGTTCAAAACAGTAATTAAAAAAATCTAACACAAGAAAACATCATATGACATGCAATATTTTCTGTCAGAAGGAAGAAATTTAGAAAATAAAATATGGAGCTTGTAGTTTTAGCACATTACTGGCTTCCCAGTTCTATGTGGGGAGTTCTTTTCAGTATGATGAACAGTGCTTTTTTACATGTTACATGGTGATACTGCTACATCCCTGTCCAGTGCTTTCTGAAATAAGTTCTTCCTTCCTTCAAAAAGAACGGCGAATTTCAGAAAATGTATCAGTTTCCTGGTAGGTCATTCTGCTCAAGGAGACTGAAAAATTTCTGGTGATTTCCATGCATATGTATTTTTCTGAAAACGACCCAAGTTCTCAGAATGGTGCCATCTGGGGAAGGGAAAGGACATGAAACAGACCTGTAAAACATCCTCAGATCATACAAGGTATTTCTTCTTACACCAGTGGGAATCTGAATTGCCTTCTTCCTATGTCTTTTTAAACAACACAGATTTTTAGGTTGTGAATAGTCTTGTGGATATAAATAAAATGTTATGTAAGTCAAGAATGCAATCCATGTGTAATGTTTTGCAGGATTGCATATTTTTCATTGCCACTAGTAGTAAGCCTTTTGTACTTGGTGACTTCTTATATTCATGTGGTTCCTGGAAACTTGTTGGGAACTTTGGAACTTTGTTCTGTCCGTATTTTTATGTTTCAAATTATTTCATTTAAAGATTTCTTGGGAAAGTTTCTCAAACTGTCATTCTACTTTGTGTGAGGTAAGGAAAGTAAAATTTTGGGGATGTACTGCTTCCTATTCCTTGTGCAGTGAATAAAAAGATGGGTGGACCATTAGTGGACAGAGAAGTGACACATCAGAAAACTGAGTGGAAACCTTGAGCTTTAGTATGTCTACAACATGATTTTCAACTTATATTTTTGTCAAAGATGAAATACAGTAATATTCTGGAATTTAATGCAGATTGAAAGGCAGTCATTTCCCATAATGCAGGTTTGATTGTTTCATGTTAATGTATTGAAAATGTTGATAGTATATTTTCATCTCCGTAATTGCTTTTAGCATGGAGACTAACACATTTGAAAATAAGAAAACAAAACGTCAGAGAGAAAAGTGCCTTCTCCCTGAGGGTCAAGGTGAAAAAATGCTGCATGCAGAATGTTCTAAATACTGTCCTTTGCAGAAAAAAATGTTTTTATCCACCCACTTTCTATTACTGCCTTCCCTGATTCTTGGTCACTGTGGTGTATCTACTGCATCTGCAATGCGTAAGTAGTATATCATGTGTTTTCCCCTTGGCTATTCAAGCGAGGCTTGGAGCAAATGTTTTCTCGTCATAAGTTTGGTATTCCATCTACTGTCACTGAAATAAGTGCCAAATAATGTGAGTACTTGTTAGAATTTTCATATATTTAAATAGATAGAAGATATATTTATATAGATAGAAGAGGTGATTGCTGAACTGCTCTCTATCATCTTTGAGAGTTCTTGGAGAATGGGAGAGCTGCCTGAGGACTGGAGGATAGCCAGTGTCACTCCAGTGTTCAAAAAGGGCAAGAAGGAGGATCCAGGGAGCTACAGACCAGCCAGTTTAACCTCTGTCCCTGGAAAGGTGATGGAAGATCTTGTTCTGGATGCCATTTCCAGACAGTTGGAAGAGAAGAAGTTATAAGGAACAGTCAGCATGGCTTCATCAGGAGGAATTCATACTTGACCAACTTGGTAGCTTTTTATGATGTCATCGCTGGTGGGGCGGATGGAGGGAGAGCAGTGGATGTAGTCTACCTTGATTTCAGCAAGGCATTTGATACTGTCTCCCACAGTATACTTATGAAGAAGATGAGGAAGTGTGGGGTAGATGAATGGATGATGAACTGGGTTGAGAACTGACTGACTGGCCAATCTCAGAGTTGTGATCAGTGGTGCTGAGTACAGTTGGAGGTCCGTATCTAGTGGTGTAGTGTACCCCGGGGTCAGTGCTGGGTCTAGTTTTGTTCAACATCTTCATTAATGACTTTGATGAGAGGATAGTGTTCACCCTCAGCAAGTTTGCAGATGATACAAAGCTGTGAGGAATGGCTGACATACCAGAAGGCTTTGCTGCCATTCTGCAAGCTCTGGACAGGTTAGAGAGTTGGGAAGAGAGGAACCAGATGAGGAATAACAAAAGCAAGTGTAGAGTCTTGCAACTAGGATGGAATAACTACAGGCACAAGTGCAGGTTGGGGGATGACCTGCTGGAGAGGAGCTCTGCAAAGAAGGACCTGGTTGTCCTGGTGGACAACAGGTTGGCCAGGAGCCAACAGTGTGCCCTACTGGCCAAGAGGGCCAATGGCATCCTGAAGTGTATTAAAAGGAGTGTGACCAGCAGCAGATCAAAGGAGATAATCGTGTGCCTGAGTTCTGCCCTGGTGAGGGCTGACCTGGAGTACTGTGCCCAGCTCTGGGCTCCCCAGTATAAGAAAGAAAGACTCCAGCGGAGTGCCTTGAAGTTGATAAAGGGCCTGAAGCACCTCTCTTATGAGAAAAGGCTGAGAGACCTGAGTCCGTTCAGCCTTGAGAAAAGAAGACTCAGAAGAGATCTGATCAATTTCTATAAATATCTATTTTGTGGGAGGCAAAGGGATGAGGCCAGACTCTTTTCAGTGATAGGGCAAGGGGAAATGGCCACAAACTGAAGCATAGGAAGTTCCACACAAATATGTGTAAGAACTTCTTCACAGTGAGGGTGACAGAGCATTGTCTGGCTGGCCAAGGGGTTGTGGAGTCTCCTTCTTTGGAGATTTTCAAGACCTGCTGGATGCCTACATGTCCAACCTTGTCTATGGGGCTTGCTTTGCAGGGGGTTTGGACTCGATGATCTCTAGAGGTCCCTCCCAGTCCCTACAATTCTGTGATTCTGTGATTAGTGATTAATTATAAACATTTCCAAAAATGGTAGTGTGAGCTAAAGATTAAGTGGTATTTGTATTGTTTAAGTTGAGATTGAAGTGCTCAATTATTTTTATCATAAGCTTCACTAATTAAGCAGTAGCACTGACAGGAAAGGTATTATGTGTAATCCTTCTTTCTCTGATATGAGGTGTTTAATAAGAGGAAAATGAAGGTACAGTGATAGAGACCAGTTCTGATTGCAGATTGTCGTATGCAGATTAGCAATGTCTTCTTGTTTTTTTTTTTTTTATTATTTTTTATGCCTCTTTTTTGCCAGTTTCAGAGTTGCTTGTTTTTATCATATTTTATTCTGCCATATTTGTGTGAGATTTTTTTTCCAACTAATTCACAGAATTAAAATTAAAAAAAAAAAAAACAAAAAACTGAAAGTCAAATAAATTAGATAGATGATTGTTAGGGCAATGTTTCTTTTTAAAAACAGAAATTCAGGGACACCAAATTGTGTCAGAAAGTGATCTGTGCTTGCCTCATATAACAAGTTTCATAGGGAGGATATTAAAAAGCACATTCTAGGGAGTATATTCCTCTGTAACTTAGGATGTATTGCTTGAGTGGTAAAAGAAAGTTCAGTGTGTTCCAGAAGGAGTAGAAATACAGTATTAGGGAGGAGGAAAACGTCTACATGGTTTCTGCTTATTTATATCTGTGTTTAGAGGTAGGTAATTTGTTTCTCAATTTGCCTGCCAAAATTAAATACAGCAAATTGCTAATATATTTATTAGGATAGTTTTGCAGAACAGCGCTGTAGACAAGCTTATGGTGATATCATCACTGTGGAAGAGTCTGATGCTTATATTTGTAACTCTCTGGATGTTTAGGATGTAGAAGTGGTTACTATTTGAACTACTGTTCATAGTATTTATGTAGTAGAAGTATGCTACTTTTAATACACAAAAAGATTACTAGAACTACAACAGTATTTTATTTTGGCTCTATCTGTGGCAGCTTTTTCACTCTGCTACCATTTAGACTCTATAATGGGTTTAATCACACCATTTGTCTGAAAACTTGTGGTAATGTTTCTAGACATTTAAACCAAATATTTATGTCCTGTTCATTGAGGTCCACAGTATCCTTGACAGGCCTTGTTTTCAAATTTTTGTT